CGAAATTTGGGGTGTTCGTATAATTATGAACCGCACTGTACATACAAAGCAGTGAAAAAAAGTTTTTTTCGAAACCGGGACTCTGGCAGACCATTTATTATTGCTTCGGGTGCGTAATTGTCGCAGTACTGTCTGAGCTGAACTGGAATCCAATTTTGAGCTAAAATTTTTTCACGCTCCTCAGCATCAGCAATAGATCTCTCCACGAAAGTGAACAACTGCAAAAATTTTATGTGCATTTGGTAGTGTGGTACAATCTCTGTGGCTTGTATAGAGATAACAACTTTTTTTATAGTACGAAAATTTATGAAAAAGCCTATTGCCGTTTCATTGCCACTATGATTTTGGGGCCTAATAATGGCAAGCTCTTATTCTTGAAATTAGTTGTAGCAAGTTTAATTTTCCGATTCAAAATGCACAAAAAACTATGCATATCGAGATTGCGTTGTGATGATGCAAAACAAGCTCGCAGAAGGGAAAATTATCCTTTTTTCGCATGATCAGTTTCCAGCAAATAAACCGCATTTTACTTTACGCTGATAACGGTGAGAAGGTTTGAGTATTCTAAATGGAAATTCTGTCATCTGCATGATATGATTGTGTTAGGACATGCTATCAAACACCGTTTATATTTTAAGAAATTTAGAGAAGGTAACTTTTTAGTCCTAATGTTGGAAAATTCGACTTTAGTCGCAGCCAGTTATCCGCTTGTAATCGGCACACCACTGCTGATACTTCTCCTCTCCGCCGTTGTCCAAACAATGTTGAAATCGTTCCTTGTATTTTTCGAGAAAATAAGCAAGCAGTACGCGATGCACATAGAGATACTGCTGAAAGAGAAAGAATTCCTATAGAAGAAGTGAAGTCCTCAAAATTCTAATTTACGTAGGCGTTCTGAATGGAACACGGCCGCTGCGTTCGAATTTCTTTCAAAAGCTCACTCATCGCTTGGCAGTCCTCCTAGAACAAAGAAGATTTAGACTTTTTTTGATTACTTATCCAAGAAAAGCACCCCGTTTTGCATTCTTTCCTGTACATACGAGATGGCTACAATGGTTCCAGTTCTACCTATACCTGCCGAACAGTGGACAATGACTGGATAAGGAGAATCGCGAACTTCAGCTAGGAGATTCTGAATATCCAACGCCTTGAATAATGCTGTAGAATGTTGAAAAATCTTGTGTTGAAGAATGAGTGAACTAATAATGCCAATAATGAAACTAGATAGTTCCAGAGAGAAGAAGAGATGGGAGCGTCAAAGAGAAGAGAGCTAATAACTTATGGCACCTTTAATTAGATCTAGCTCTAAAATACTTCTCAATGGCACGTCCGACTGAACGAAGCTGATGAGATTCTAATGTTATATGATAATGGGGTCATAATTGAGCAATCGCTCAAGTTCTGCTGCAAAATATGAATCCCGAAGCGTGGAAACCGCTACAAAAGGTAGAAGCGTCCACACTGGCTCCGCCTATTAGCTGAATAATCTGAAGATAATCAGTTTAAATTTGGACCCCCAGTATCCAGAATCCTCATAGACCCGCCTTCCATTATCTTCATCAAATTTGTGGCCTTTCTGTCTAGCCTGAGGAATTTTGGACTGGTATCGCCATAGGCTTCAGGCATAGTCACGCGATTTCAGTCGCCGCGTGACCTGGCATTTCCCTAGATTTCTTCAAATGCGATACTGGCAGATACCAAACGCATACCACTTATATTTCGTGGGTTTATGAAAGCTAGTCTTCGTATATTCAGAAACCCCTTATGATGAGTTATGAACAATTGGAGTATTCCCAAATCGCGTCGCGATAGAAATCGCGTGAAATGCCCGTTGGCTCGTTGGCATACATCGACTTTGATGGGAGGCGCCGAGTACCGCTATATTAAAAAGACGTCCTCTCGCTTTGGATTTCATCTTTTGCAGCGAGGCTAAAGAAACTGCTTCGTTTTTGCCCTGTTATTATTAAGTAGTTCCATAAGTTCGTAGCGTTTTCATTTTCAGCACCATTTCTTTGAGGAGCGGTCGTTTTGCGCAAGATGTACACTACATTATTGGAGAACTCCTCAAAATGTAAAATCTGACGTCGAATCCAATGGAAATCTTGAAAGGCGAAAAGAGCAGTATCGGCATGTGCGCATCTTTCTTTTGAAAAAGTAGCTTTTGCACAGATTTTCTGCCTTTTCAGTGAACATGGGGTCCGCACATCAATATGTGGTTGAAAAGGATTGGATCCTACAAAAGACCAAGGGCTGGCAGACTGTCCCTGAGCAAGACTTTTTGAGGGGGCAGGGCTTCCTGCACTGAAAGTTGCTGGACAAGAAGACGACGGCCGACCGTAAGCAACCCAACTGCAATACCGCGAAACGAGCCCAAACAGTCCAATAGTTTTTTCCATAGTTTTTCTGCATGATCATACGGTAAACATTAGCAAAACTGTCCTGCAAAATTTATCTGGAAGGGCAGTGTCAAAGTACTTCCCAAATGTCGCTTAACCACTATTTGCTTTGCTCTTTCGCGAATTTTATGTATGGGCGTGTCTCGATTTTAGTGAGTGTTTTGAGCGCTTGACGACTTTCTTAGGGACCAGGCGCGCTGCAGTGTAAAAAATTGAGACTGAGGAGCTAACACAAAAGTGGCAAAAGTCGTGCGTTATATTGCGGAATATACCATCAACTGATTTTTAGTGAAAATTGAAAATTGATGATTCTGTTGGCTTATAGAAACGGTAAACTTATGGAACGACTTGATACTACAACGTGAACATCTCTTCACCCTCAACTAGTGGGAACGGTGCCTTCTTTGTATAACTCATTGCGTGCGCTACATTGCGGATCTACGGTTCCATAACTACACCGACAGATGAAAATAGCTTTAAAAGAATCTTTTTTTTAGATTTCAGAATCAGCTGGAACTCACAATTGGGGTAAGTTTCGTAGGCGGTACTCCCCTATCTGGCCAGTTTTCCCACTGGTAATGGTAGACTGTTTTTGATTTATCGTGTCCATTCTCTTTGTAGCCTAGTTTGAGCGTGCTTACACGTATAAAATTATCCTCCTCAGACATTGGATGAGCCTGTGCGACAACCAAAGTCAACTCGTAATAGTTTTTTTTTACAAATTTCACCTCCATTGAGGTTACTGTAATTTTTCCCTCGTTATCTTCACCAAACACCATAGAATCACCAACATCATACGGCCAATATTGTTCACATTTTTTCTTTTCCTATGGGAAATTATTTGTTGGTAATTAAATTCACGAGATGTTGACTAAAGCTTACGCATTCTACAGTATTGCATAACATCAGGACGTAGTCGCTTTTTTCTTGGATGACCATTGCCCAAAACGCTTGCATTGTGTTTGTGAGTGGTCCCTTAAACAGTTTTTTTT